ACATTTCTCTGAACTAGTGCAAAGGAAATGTAGAGCGGGACAGTTGAAACTTGCGGTGTAAATGTGCAAATGCTCACTACTCGTACAATACGCGAGCTCAAATCGCGGTAGAGGCAGTTGTGAGTTTTCAACTTTAAAGAATTTAAATTGTTGCGTGCAGCTTACAATAATTTTTATTTTTTTTTTTATAAAATATGTAACAAACATGGAATCTGTAAAGGAAAAGATAAAAAAAAATATTCAAAAATCGAATCTTAAAAACGTTTTCTTATAAAACAAAAAACTGTCCAAAACGGAACCGGTTAGAAACTGGTTGCAAACTAATGCACTGGGCGACAACTGCCACCGCCAATGACATCGCCGTATAAAACTGGACAGTTGAAAGCATTGCTTGGGTATTGAGCTAGAACTGGTACTGCCGAAAAAAGGTCTAGTTCTACGCTAGTTCTGAGCCAGTCAGATTTTCTGCAGGGTTTGCACATGTATGTATGTATAAGTGCGTGGGTGTATGTATGTTTCGTTTGAATTCAAACGCACACCTAGTAGCGCTCAGTCAAGGATAATAGTCGCTCATCCCTGCTGACGCTCAGTGTATGGGCTCCTCAACCCACCCTCGCGAGAGAAATGTTTCACACACACTCACACAGAAGCATGTCATGTAAACCATAGTTGTTTGTATTTCTACATTGTACAGTGTAGAATCTACACCAAACATCAAATATGTACACTCGACATATGATAAAAAAATCTAGAAGTTGAAAGGATTTTGTACGCATTTGTTGGAAAAATGGAATAGTAAAGTAAGGAGCATGCGTTCATTAGTCTGCCAATACGCCTAGCGATACAGAGCTTTCGCGATACATATTTGTAGGAGTTTTAGACCTCTTGAGCCAAAATTATTATGCAAATAAATAAATAAGTACACACTTATATGTGTTGTAGGAAAGGATATGATGCGATTCAATTTGACCTCTATAGGGCTAAGAGCCTTTACTTGATAATGTTCCTGACCATTCAAGTTTGTTAACACCAAAATCTTACCACCGGTTATGCTTATTTTGTGACTTTTACTCGTAGATTTGCTTTCTAAACAAAATTTTTATTGACATGAGCAAATTTTATTGAAAACCCAAGAAACAAATATGTAGGTACATATTAGGGATGTTAATTTTTCAGCTTATTCAGTCGTTATCACAATCCCGTAATTACGGGATTAGTCCCGGGACTTAGATTTTCATTACTTTTCAACAACTTAAATCGAAAAAATTGCTTCTATATTGTTAAGAGAAGCTCTCATACCATAAAATAAATAATAAGTAAATGGATTCGATAGCTACTTTTTTATTTAAAAATACGTTTTTATTTTTTCTCTCCGATGTCAGGATTCGATTTTAGAGGACTTTGTAATTACATAGATAGGATTAATTCCAAAAATTATTTAAAAAATGCAATGCAATTTAAAATAAAAATATGGGCACCAAATGCAAGAGGGAATTTCTTTAGAATTAAAAAAGATAAAATTTTTTGTATTTACAGGGACGAACAGGTAATTTTTTAAGCTGATAAATTTAGAAGGATATTAAAAACTTACCAGTCTTTCTGCACCAAAAACATGAATATCTTTAAATTCTATAGAATTTCCTCTTTAATTTGGTATCCATATTTCTTCTCTAAGCACATTTGTCTGTATTTTTAAAATAATTTTTGAATTACTGAAGTCAGAGTGAAAAACTAAAAGCGCAATTTTACTATATTTGTCAGATGGTTTCCCGAATATATTGATGTTTATGTTTCAAATTTACTATCGCGCGGTGTTATATGTACATATAATGAGCTAAACATTTATAAAATGATATTAATTATTAAATAAAAAAAGAAATCTAGCCCATACTGGTCAATAAAATGAGTTTCTATTATTGCCATCAGTGCAAATTACAAATCCCGAAAATCCTGGGATTTTTTGCCAATAATATCGGGATTTTTGGGACCTTAAAAAGGCCGGGCTCCCGGGATTAACATTCCTAGTACATATCAAGCGTCCCTTCGCTCCACTTATTATATTTATAGTCATTTATCGTTCGAGATTTCATATCTCTGACATTGCAACCTCCCTAGGAGCGGTTATACATAGTATATACATATGTAGGTATGTATGTATATTAGACTGCATCACTCCCCATACAAAAAAAAAAGGTAATGTTTTTCTATTGGAATTATAAAATCCAGTATATATTAAGACGTCCACCAAAATATTTCGGAAAAATATTAAGATTTTAGCGAGCTGGACCGATTTGAAAATACCTCCAAAAAATGAGTTTTTTATGAATAAATATTGTTTCTTAAAGATTTTTTTTTTGAAAAAATCCCCTCAAATGACAAAACTGTTTAAGCTTCTAAAATTTGCATAAAAAACAATTTTGAATTGAATGAGATTTTTAATGCGGTTTTTTAACTCTTTTCAAAGATTGGTATAAGAAAAACTTAAATAACTGAATCTAAACTCTTACGAACCTTTCTACCGAGATCCCATAAGTCTAAATCAGAATAGTTCTGGCCCAGTTATTTAAGTTTTTCGTAAATTAATCTTTGGAAAAAGTAAAAAAACTGCATCAAAAATCCCATTGTTAAGATTTCGTTGAAAAGTTTTTTAAATATTTTTATGCAGATTTTTTAAGCCTAATCTGCTTTGTCAGCTGAGGGGACTTTTTTTTAAGTTCTTTAATAAACCATTTTTATTCATAAAAAACTCCACTTTTGGAGGTATTTTCAAATCGGTCCAGCTCGCATAAATCTTAATAATTTTCCGAAATGGAAAAACGCAACTTTTTTTGGTGATGCAGTCTAATGTATATACATATACCCTACAAAGCAAAGTCCCCCAAATCTTTAAGATTATTGGAAGTTTTTCCGAATTCTGTAACAATTTATTTACCAATTTTCAAAGACAATCATAGGAAATGGTTGATACTAACTCCTTAATAAATTTCTGTACGATTTCTTAAAGGTAGTTCTAAAAAAAGTTCCCAAAAATTTTAAGAATTTTCATTACTTCACACAATTTTCCCGATCACCATGTTATTCGACACGCTGAATGCGAATCCGAGGTCCGTTAGCCTCTATAACGTCAGGTTCGTGGTCAGTTGAAGGTCAATTACCTGAAAATTCAATAAAGTTCTTCTGAAATTGACCTTGGGATGACCTTAAGGAATAAAGGTACCCCCATATTTGGATTTAGCGACAACAAAAACAATATTGAATAAATTTTTTGTCCTAATTGACCCTCAAATGACCTCGAACCTGACATTATGGAGGTTAACGGATCTCGGATTCGGCTTCAGCGAGTCTAAAATCTCATATATATGAAATTTTCAGGTTTATTCAATGAATCTTTCCCTACTTGACCTTATGAAACAAATCTTAGAATATTAAAAATGAGACCTCAATAGATGTCTATATTTTTATGGTATTTTTCAAAAAAAAAAACTAATAGCTAGCTGTTGAAAAATAAGATTTTATTTACTGAAAGTGTTTGATGGGGTTAAAGAAGAAGTTACATACTACTTTACATCCGCTCCTTTTTAGCAACAATGCAACCTTGTTAGCGAAGTTTTAATTCATTAATTAGGGTATTGCAGTTTATACGCACCCTGGCACTTCTGAACGCAACTCGCAGTTACATATAGGTTTATTGATCTGTATTTATATATGTATGTATGTATAAAGGCCCATACAATCAATTGACATCGGTTGGAAAACATGATTTGCAAATAACGCACTTAAATTTGCATAAAATCTGCAAGCGTTGTCAAGAAAATGCTGCTAACAATAGAAACAACAACATAAGCTAACAACTTTGAAACGAACACAGAAATGTTACAACTCAAAAATGCCAATCGAGCTGCCAAAAATTATGCAAATTAATAGGCGAAATTTTAAATATTCGCGATCGCTGACGCAGCTGTGCTATACAACCACTCAACTGACAGTTACAGCAAACACACAAACAGGAAAAAAAGTTTTAATAAAATCACAGGTAAGCAGCGTTAAGTGAAACTGAAAGGATTTTTGCCCGACAGCTAAAAAAAAAATTATATTTGCATAAATACAATGTAAAAACTGCGAGCGTTTTTGGGATATGCAAATGAGACAGCCGAACTGAATCGAAAAGAGGTAATTGCCGCACAAAATGCCACTGAATGTGCCAGCCAACGCACCGCTGGCGACTCATTAACATAACATTAAACATCGACAGAGAGAAGCGGGACAACAGAACAACTACAACGACGATATTTTTGAATATGGTTTTTTTTTATCAAACAAATATCACTTCGTCTCATTCCGACATCCTTGCAGTCATTCGATGAGGTGCGAGAGAAAGTACCTATCAGAATGTGCGGCAACGTAGCGCATCTGCCACGACCACTCGCGTACGGGCCGCATCCGTATATGCGTCCCCAGCCTCATCATCGACGTTGCTGAACCAGCTGAGCCAGCCGAGCCAGCCAACAGTTCAACGAACGCAATGCGCTGGTGTCACTAACCTAAATTAAAATTATGTTAATGAATGAGAAATATAAAAACACAGTGCCAGTGTCCCTTCAGGCCCCTCACCGATGCAGCAGAAGCAAGAGCAGCCCGTAAATCAGGGCCAAGGACGACTCGAATGGGAATGCCGCGCTGCGTCGTTGTGCGAAATGGGGAAAGCGACTGACTGGCAACCTTTGGGCATAATGAAGTTAGCGAGGCTGCGCTGCCACATCGCTCATCAGCGTAATTTTAATTTACTTTTTTTTGTTGTTGTTGTGGTTGTTGATGCTTTAGAGCGCAAAAATTTCATCATCTTCCTTTCATCGCTTTGTTTGTTTCTATGCGCTTTCGCGGAACATTGACTGGGCGACCGGCATTTTTGTCTTCTACTTCCTGCCTGTTTCATTTCCATTCAATTCCTATGGTGGTAATTATTACTCAGTTTTTGTCGATTAATTTCGATTGGCCTTGCGAGCGGTGACGTCACAAGGACACTGCGCCCGTTGAGCGTCGTCGACGTGTTGTACATACAATTAAAATTCTAATTTATGCAAATTATCAAAGGCGCCGCCGGTACTGTGTTTGGGTATTTCCATGCGACGAGTATAATTACAAAGATTTTGTGAGCGTATTTCGCGATTAAAGCTTTAATCGAAAAGACGTGGCGGAATCGAGCGATTCATTTTGTAATATTTCGGTTAGTTTAGTTAAACGTAGTGCAAGTGGGAATTTTTTATACAAGATATACAACTTTTGACTTTGGTTACTATTAGTTGAAGAAATATACCTACACATATAACCTGAAATCGAATATTAAGTTTTCAATAAAAAAGCGTGAAAAGTGTATTTGCTGAGAGATTGTATATGTGTACATTAGACTGCATCGCTTCCCATACAAAGAAAAATCGGTACTATTTTTCCATTAGAATTATAAAATCTATTATATTTTAAGACGTCCACCAAAATATTTCCGAAAAATATTAGGATTTAAGTGAGCTGGACCGATTTGAAAATAATACCTCCAAAAATGGAGTTTTTCATGAATAAAAATAGCTTCTTAAATATTTTTTTTTGAAAAAATCCTCTTAAATGACAAAACGGTTTAAGCTTAAAAAATATTGCATGAAAATATTTATAAAAAATTAAAAAAAAAACTTAAACGGAATCGTAATGATAAGATTTTTGATTTGATTTTCTCACCCTTTTTATTTCTTTGATAACAAACTCATTAAAAGCATGAAAGAGAGAGGTAGGGTGAACGAACGTCATTCAAAGTTGGATTAAGATGTGTTGGTATTTGAAAAAAAAAAATGGGACACGAATGACTTTTTTTTGGACAGAAATAAAAACAGTGTGAAAATACCTTTCTATCGGGATCCCATAAGTCTAAATAAGAATAGTTTTGTAAATCAATCTTTGAAAAAATTAAAAACAACTGCATCAAAAATCCCATTATTACGATTCCGTTGAAAAGTTTTTTAAATATTGTTATGCAGATTTTTTAAGCTTAATCTGTTTTGTCATCTGAGGGGACTTTTTTCAAAAAGTTCTTTAAGAAACTATTTTTATTTATAAAAAACTCCATTTTTAGGGGTATTTTCAAATCGGTCCAGCTCACTTAAATCTTAATATTTTTCCGAAATACTTTGGCGAACGTCTTAAAATATTATAAATTTTGTAATCCTGGCGGAAAAACCGAAACTTTTTTTTGGTGATACACTCTAATGTACATATTTTTTTTCTAAAACAAAGTTTCATACAGAAAACTATATGCCATTTTCACTTACATACATACATACATAAATGATGTTAAGATTTGCTTACGGTAAAGTGCGAAAGAAAACAAAAGGGTATTTACGAGTGGTATAACAACAACAAAATTTGGTCATAGTTCATCTCAAAAGCAGGGCCGACCTCATATTATAGATTTTTTGATGCTGATTCGAAGAGCATTTACAAAGATTTTATAACACGTCCAGTTTTTTGAGAAAAAAAGTGTCGAAAAATTACAAAAATTCCAAATTTCAAGTTTTTTGTTTATAGAATTTCGACGTAGTTTTTCCGAAGAAAAAACAACCCAGGTATTAATGACAATCCAATTCGTCTGATGGATTTTACCTTATGTCGATGAGTGGATTAGAAATGAGTGAAAAATAAAAAAACTCGTTCTACTATAGCTTGCACTTGGTTTCCAACAAATACGTTTTTGTTGTTTTCGTTTTTTTAATAAGTTTTTTTTTTTTAATTTTAACCGATCATCAATTAATCGACATGAGGTAGAATCTATCATATGAATTGGCAAGTATATAAACAGTTTTAAAGAAAAAAAGTAATAATAAAATATAACAAAAAACATTTTTATAAAAGCTGTTGAACACATAGCAGAAATTTTGTCATTCATTTTTTTTAATAATACAAAAACACCAAAAATTTCACAAACTTTTTAAGTGATTTAGTAGAGGTAGTAGATCTGATCGAGTAGTTCACAAAAATGTGTTTGAAATTTTCCTTACACCCTCAAATTCTCAACTTATTCGTAAAAGCCCAATTCGGCCCGACCTCACTCACAAAACAATCTTTAGCTCCTTTAATTTTTCAGCGATTTGAAGTTTAAATATATCTTCGGAAAGAATAATGTGGTATTTTATTAAATGAATAATGGCTTTTGCGAAAATAGGCGAAAATATGTGTAACAAATTTGCCATCGGTATGAAAATTGCAAAACTTTTTTCTTGTATTTTGCACCTTGGTAAATTTTTTTCTACAATTTTACAAGAAAGCATTTACATACATTTAAATCATTTTCCTTGTTTGGCTCGTTCTATGCAGAAAATTACTTAAATGTAAATGATTTTTTGTAAAATTGTAGAAAAAACTCCTCCAAAGTTGAATGTAAAAAAATTTTGCAAATTTCATACTGATAGCAAACTTCTTACACATATTCAACTTATTTTTGCAAAAGCCTTTATTGATTAAAAAATTACAACATTCTTCTTTACAAAGATATATTAAAATTTAAAGTTGCTAAAAAAAAATTAAAGAAGCTAAAGATTGGTTTGCAGTTGAGGTCGTGCCATATTCGCTTTTTCAAAAACAGGTCACCGAAAAAGTTCATTTACACTGTAGCACCTTGTAATTATTATAACTTGTACATTCGACATCACATAATTTCAAATTTTATTATTTCTCCGAATTTGTATTGCAGTATTTGAGTGAAAAACATTGTAAGCGATGGTACAGTGTGCAGTGTTGCCAGAGAAAGATTTCGTTTGGAGCTAAAACGGTCGAAAAAAAGCTAAAAAGAGCTAAATAATATTAATAGTAGCTGAAATGAAGAGCTACATATTTTTGTTAAGGTTGAGCATTTATTGACGTAAGGTTGTTTTTACGTTTTCGGCAATTTTAATAAAAACAACGAATTTTATAAGTTTAAGTGCTGAAAAAATCTTTTAAAACCAAAATAAGGTGCATATATTTCGAATTCGTTGCTATGGCACTTATAACAGTGATCTAAAAGTATTTTACAAACTGTTAAAGTCTGTAATTTCAGATATTTGAATTGAGTAATTTTTTCGCAAAATTTTTCTGGAAAGTTTCATTTCCAGCTCTCCCTAAAGGTAAAATTAGTAAGGCAAAACAAAATCCACGCTATCAGAAAAAGGATTTTCTTTTAATTAATTTTTGAATCCTTGAACCTAGATCCAAGTGTCTATGGTGGATAGACTGCATCTCGAAATTTTCCATTTTATCAACACTTAAGTTTTGGCTTATGTATACCAAATACAACTAAACACTACTAAACTTAACTAGAGCTACATAAATTTGAAAAGAGCTAAGAAAAGAGCTAGGAGCTAAAACCTGATTTTCGGAGCTAATTAGAAAAATAAAGAGCTAAATCTAGCTCCAAAAACATCGAAATGGCAACACTGACGATGTGACCTGTCCTCGCTGTTCAAACGGTTAGCGTTCGCTTTGTAACCGCCGCACAGTGTGCTTTTTGAACACTCCCTAATAATTAATCGCAGCGCTTTCGACAGAAGCTACTTTTTGATATGAAACAAATGGATTTGAAAGCTAATGTAATTCCCTTTCACGGGAAAATGTAGGTACTGAGCCACATTACTCCTAGACTTAAAAAAAAAGTTGGTAAAAAATAATGTTCTTTAAAAAAAATACATTTGCATTTGTTCAAAAAAAAGTTTTTTTGTAAATTTGAATATACTAGTATATTATTAGTTCATAAAATCGATTTTGAGACGAGAAACACGATTCGAGTGTTTAGAAAACGAAAAACGAAATGGAACCCCTCAATTTGAAAAATGCATTACATATTGCATTTTCTATTATTTACATGCAGAGAATCATCTTTCACACAATTTTATTCCAGACTTTTAATTTGAGCTAAGGTAATAGTCTCTAGGCCCTTTTAGAGCCAAATTATAACGATTCTGAAGTTAAAATTCGAAATTTCATTCGACATTTTTGCAAATTTTTCTTAAAATTTCAGAGTAAAAACTCGTACAGCAGATTCAAAGTTTGGTTTAAAATTGTTATGACCTGGCTCTCAGCGGGCCTAACAATGTCTACTATGCTACTCAAATTAAAGATCTTGAATAGCACTATAGCGTACTTGTTATAAAATTGTGAGAAGTATGCACAGCTGCATACAAATAAATAAGAATGCAATAAAAAATTCATTATTTAAATGGAGATGTTAAATTTTTTTTTCGATTTGTAAACAGTAAAATCGTGTTTCTCGTCTCAAAATCAATATTATTAGTATAATAAAACGTAAAAAAAAACAAATGGAACAAATGCGGTGGATTTTGCATGTTTTTTCGAAGAACAATATTTTGACAAACTTCTTTAAAATTAAAGAGTAGTTTTGGCTCAATGACAATATTTTTCCGTGAATAATATTAGCTTTCAAAATCCTTTTGTTTCATATCAAAATGTTACTTCTGTCGAATCACAATCGCAACCGCACCGCATATTTTTCTAGATTTTGTGTTACGGCAATCGGGCAAATCGCCTCTTACAAAAATTGGTTTTCACTAACTGAATCGGCTCGAAAAATAATCTTCAATTTCACTATCCGAACCTCTCCGGCGCCCTCTGCGCTATTCTAGCTACTACAAAAAGAAACAGCAAGCCAGTCTATAATTATTTCCACTGTAGACGTAAGTTCACTAATAAAGTCGATAAACTGATAAATAATCGAAAATCTTATTTACCATAGAAATCAAATAAAATTAAATTTTTCACATTTTAGCCAACATGTATACTGAAATATCTGTGGTCATAAGCAATGACCGCCTAAGTCGACTTCAAAAAAAATTTAGTTATATATGTTATAGTATTCTGCAACTACTATTCCATGTATAGCCAGCTAGGCTATTTAAAAAGTTATATACGAACGTATTTTGGTTTCCCCATAAGATTAAGATGTTTTTTCTCGAATTCCGGTTTTTCGACTTAGGCGGTTATTGCTTATAAGCAGAGAATACTAAGACACTATTAGTAATTATTATTATTATTTTTTATTAGATTAATAGCCTTTAGAGATTCGAAATTAAAAATATTGTTTTATTTAAATCATTCGAAAATCAGTTAAAAAATTAAATATCTTCCTATACCTAAGCTTGTATGGTTCTATCCGCGGACCTAGACATTTTCTTTAAAATAAATAAAACAAAAGTGCAAACTTTAGTTAAACCCACCCAGATTTCAATAAGAAAAACTTTCGAAATACCATGAATTATGGGCGCAATTAGTCTAAGTACGATTAGCTGATCCAGTATGTAGGGGAGTTAGAGCTTAAACCGACGGCAGCGTTGATCCGGATCAACTCGGGAATTAACTGCAGTTGATCCGGATTAAGTCCCAGTTAATCGCGGTCAACGCTGCCGTCTGTTTAAGCTTTTACCGTCATTCAAAAATGCATTCATTGCTCAAAATATTATCTTAAGATATGTGCTGCGAAAAAGATTGCTGGAATTAATTTGAGTAGTTATTGAAGAGCAAGACACATATTTTACCAATATTGCTTCTGGTGAGTCACCAACGATGACCGACTGACTAAATAGCGACCGTAAGAGAGACTAAACATTACGCTGATCAAAGAAAAAATGCCTTCAGTGTTCACAAAATGCTGATTGGAAAAATTTCAAATAGTATTACGGCACTTTCAGAACATTTTCGATGATTTTAATTAAAATTAGTTTTGACGTCAGACTATGCATTCAAAAAGTTTTCATCGACAATAATTTTCATAGACCTAACTGGTTTAGTTAAATTTCGCCACATTATTATTGGTTGAAACCTTTAAAAAATGTTTATGTGTTCTAAATAAAGTTAAAAATTAAATTTGACCTTTATGTCTTCATTAACAACAAAACAAATTTTAAGACAAAAACAATAACAAACGACTAACTAAATGGTTCTTTATTAACTCAAATATTATGAGCACAATTTGTATAGTTTTTCATTTAGTTTTGCACTGATCGTTAGGATCCATCTATTCTACTACACGGTCTTATAAAAGACTAAACTTTTGTTTTTAGCTTTTAATAAATATAAATACTTTCGAATACTTTAGTTTCATTTCTTTCTTATCCCATTTTCCAATTACTATTTTCTTTTGCAATGCAAAAAAAAAGAAGCTACCACTCGAACTTTAAAGCTGATTATGTTATGACCCTTGTCGGCCGCTGTGGTGAGTGGTAAGCAGTGCGCGCTTCCACTCCGCAACGCCTGTGTCAAAGCACCATCGCAAAAAATAGAACAAAAGTTTTTTCTTAACAGCGGTCGTCCCTCGGCAGGCAATGGCAAACCTCCGAGTGTATTTCTCCCATGAAAAACAGCTTCTCATAAAAATACAATCGCCGTTCGGAGTCGGCGTAAAACTGTAGGTCCCTCCGCTTTGTGTGACAACATCAAGGCGCACAGCACAAATCGGAGGAGAAGCTCGTCCAAACACTAACATATGTGTAAGCGCCAATCTATTATTATTTTTATGTTAGGACCCTTGGAGTTGTGAATGCCATAATTTAGTTTTTGATTCGATTTTAACTAAAAATTCAAGGAAGCACAATACACAGCAATATTCGCTTATACATATCGCACCCTAAATCAAAAACCGTCACATCAAAATCCGTCAAAAAATATTGGATACAGAAGAATGACAGATGTGTCCAGTTAGTAAGGGCGTAATATTCGGTAACGATAACTTCCGATAACAGTCTTCGGAGTTGCCATGAATGCGAACTTCTAAATAGCAAATTTCAAAAAAGTTTTTTGAAATTTGTAATAAGCGAACTTAAGCACCTCAAAATACCAAATTTCATAATTTGTTTAATTCTTGGAAACCATATTGGATTGGTTATTTTCGGTTTTTGAAAATTGACTTCAGGCTTGCCAAGACACATCTTATAAATAATATGATGCAAAATATAGAAAAACTACATTAATCCGTAGTGTTTTATATACTTTGTGTTATTTGGAGCAACTGCTAAAGTTGGTCTAGTGTAATAAAAGTGGCCGCCACTCTTTTTGGCGCGAGTATACGCGGCTTTTCTTTTCGTAGATCCTTAACGGGCCCCTTGCATTACTTTTTGGCAAAGGAATGAAGATCCTACTCGGCCGTACAAATTAGTTATACCTCTTTGAAAAAAAATATTTCTTGAACAATAATCCATGCTATTAAGATATTCATAATTTGGCAACAAAATTTTATTATGTAATATTTCATATGAAATCATGATTTTCCATCTTTAAGAAGTAATCTTAAACCAGCAATTACTGTTATAATTTAAAGTTTCCATCAAAAAAATTGTTAAGAATAATATGACATAACCTAACATTAACAGTCTGAACGACCTAAAGCAGTTTTCAAAGTTCATCAGAAGATGGAGACTTCAAAGTTTATAAATATGTATGATAGCGAGCTTTACAAGAAGAGTTAATATTTGGTGCTATTTTTTCAGAATATACAAAGATTTTGCAATGTGTTGTTAGTGGATATGGAACTACTTTAAATACTGGTACGTTACCCACCAAAAACTAAAAATTTAAAACATTTTACATAGCACACTTTGCAAGTGGACTACTATATGGTCTGTGAACGGTTTTATCTGAAAAAAATTGAGTTGTGACTGTTTTTGATTTAGGGTGCGAAATGCAGATACTCATACACAATATAAAAAAATGTTCATATAAATAAATAATTTCTAACTTTCGAAAGATATGCAGGAACGTATGCAATTGTCTTGTACATATTTTAAAGTTCTAATTTTTAAGTTAATAAATACGTTAATGAAACTCGGCTTATAAACTGTGCGAGAAGTTATTTGCTACTACTCGTACACAGTACCTTTTAGTATGACTCAATACACATTTTATTTGATTTGGTGAACATTTTAGGGTTAGTCCCCATAAAATTATTAGAAATTAATGTGATCGAAGGAGACATTTTTAAATTCTTTCATACAGTTAATAAAACCGCTTTCACTTTCACTCTGCCAGTAACCGAATATTCGCACTTACCTCTAAATTGTGTTAGACTTTACCAAGGCATATGAAACAGGAAGTAGCTTTAGAACAAAAACAACACTCACGAGTATTTTGTTGTTTCTCTGTTTCTCTAATCTTAAAAATGTAAAAAAAAAATTTTTTTCATAGTATATAAGTCATGTATGTACATATGTATGTATAAAAAAACATTGAAAAATTATTGCAAAAAATTAAATTTGTGCTATTTTCTTTATTTTAAATTGGTTTGCATCCAGATTTTCAAGGCTCAATATTCAACTTTTGTTCTTCTGAGTTAAGCGAACGTTCCAAACGCCGGTTTTTATTCGCATTTTGATAAAAAATTATTACACATGCAAACACATTTTGACAATCTAGAATTTTTGTAAAAACAAATTTACTATGTATGTATGTATGTATTTTTGAGAATTTATAGGCCAAATCATTTGCAAACAAAAAATCAGATCAGCTGCACTACTGCTACTACCTGCTCAATATGCCTTGGACTTCAAAAAGTCTGTTAAGATGATAACATTCCATTTGTAATGCACAATTCATGAATAATCGCATTGTATTAAAAAATTTGAATTTTCAAACATAATTTTTAGCCACCATTAAATTTATCGAGTAATAAGTGTTTTTTTAATTTCATATTTTCAGTCAAATTTTATGTTATGCTGCACTAAGTTCACTAGCTACATCACTCACCAGAGGAATGTATGTATTTGTAACAGTCTTAATATCATTTTTTCTTCTTATGAATATTCCCAAATGTATTTTTTTTAAAGCTGCCGACAACCTTTCGGATGCGCCTCACGCTGAGGAATGAAATTTCAATTTGAATTGCACGCAATGCGAACAGAATAGATTCCTTTTCTTCTTCAGTGGAGCCTTATCACCACTGAATCGCTAAACAATTTGGGAGCGCGTCTTTGCGTTTCTTCTTCAACGGCTCCATCAATGCTGGAAACTGTGGCAGGGGTGATGACAGAAGTTTGCCACAGACTCCAAGGAAGCAATCAATGGAAAACTGCTACCGAGATGCGATTACTCGAAACACTAAACTCGAAAAAAAATATATGCGTTTACATTTTTACAGCGAATTTCCATGCGCTCTCGCCGCGAAGAAAAATTAACTCTATATCACTTGACGCGGGTGCGATATGCATACGAGTATGAATGCATGGACGGGACGGACCGGTAAATCAGTAAGGCAATCGCTACGATATTTTGCTCAGATGGGCGGATAATTGAGACGCGGCGCACCAGTCAGCCGCAACGCTCGACTGCTACTGTCCGCGGACGACTTTGCCAAGACCGCACCAAACAACAAAGCGTAAAAGTGCGAAGCAACTTGAAGAAGACGCCGACGCTAACACCGATATCAACGCCAACGCCTGTTTCGTCGTAAAAGAGCCACCATGGAAGTGGAAGGGAATCTAAGTGTATTTGCCACCCCCTCGTTACGCCATACTCAACTTTGGCAAGTGGTTCGAAGCGACTCACACAGGCGAGCGGACATGTTCTGCTGCTGAGTAGAGTTAAGAAGCAAGTGAAGTGCTGGACACGCGCACTGGCACATCTGCTCTCACGAAGGATACGCTCTTGCACTCCTTACAATACAACTACACTAACGCATACCTCATAGGGTAATATGTAAGTTGAAGGTGCGAGTTTTTGCAAAAAAAAGCACCACTCTATAGCAATAACGTCCCCGAAGGGTATATTGCCCTAGAAAAAAGCGAGGCAAAAAATGAGAAAAAATGGTGGTGGAAAATATAAAAAAAAAAATAGAAAATAAGTCATCCCCTCACTTTTCGCACGCACACATGCTCAAAAAAGCACACTCCCATCCACACATATGTACATATGCTAGTAAACAATGAGGCGGATGACGAGCAAAAAAGCATGACGAATTTTTCCAAAGTTTTTATATTCCATCCATCAACACACGTATTCGCTTTCTGGCGCTCACACGCTTTGTGTCGATCCTGAAGGTATTGAAGTGCAAAAAAAAAATACGAATAACTGGAGGATAACCCACCCTGTAAGTTTATATTCGCCTTCCGTTCGTAATTCACACTCATATTTTTT